TTTTGTCAAGAGGTCTTTAAACTTATGGCACCTGAGGTTCCTAGTTGGTCTCCCATACAAGTACTAGCCAGGCCCAAGTCTGGATGGCTTCTGAGATCTGACGAGATCAGGCATTTTCAGACTGGTATGGCCATTGATATTTTCATTCAAGTGCTCAGCAAGCTTGGTCTAGGAACATTATTGGTATTATAGTCATTATATAGCTATTTCCTTGGGAGAATTCAAGCATTAGCAATTTAGTGGTCCTCATCCGGTAATCATGAGAATAAATTTATATGATAAAAAATAATATAAAAAATAATAATAAATAGAAAAGAATAGTGATAATAGTAGTAATAGTAATAAGCAAAGAATATACCCATTGTGGAACAAACCGCGCTATATTTACAAATTTACAAGTGTATCAGGCCATAAGGCTCACTCAGAATAGATTAGTGCAGAGATCACCCGCCGAGTACCACTGCCCGTATATAGGTCTGAGTCCCACACCTGGTATCAGTGATCTGCAATAAATGGTGTATATGAGAAACCTTCGTTAAGTCCCAAGGGTGACAGGGTTTTGAGCTTATAGATCCAGAAGCTCTCCCTTTGGAGTAGCTTCTTGTCTAAATCCCCCCCTCTTGGTCCCAAGGTAACCCTTTCAATACCACTAAATCTGATTCCTTCAGATGAGCCCCCATGATGTAGTTTCAAATGTTTAGAGATAGGGGTGTCGATTTGTCTTGTGGGGTTTACCGAATTGACATGTTCCCGTATCCTAAGTTTAAACATCCTAAAGGTTTTTCCCACATACAGTTTTTTGCACGAACAGGAAAGTAAGTAGATAAGCCCTTTGGACTGACAGTTAAAGAAATTCTTTACTTTGAATTCCTGTGTGCCGAGGGAGTCTGGGAATGTTTTGGAGGGTCTACGTATAAACCTACATGCCTTACATTTCCCACATTGATAGGTCCCTAAGACTGGGGACTTCAGCCATGATGTTTTCTGGGGTGTAGTCTTGAGATGGCTAGGGACCAACATGTCCTTGATGTTGCGTCCCCTTCTTGCTGTTACTGAAGCCTTATGTGTGATTACCTTCCGTAAGTGTGGGTCTTGTTGTAAAAGGGGCCAGAATCTGTCCAAGATTTGCATCATTTGATGCCAGCCGGCATCAAAATTCCCTATACATCTTATGACTGCCTGTGATGGCTCTGGGTTATGTTCGATTAGAAGGTCTTTCCGATCTGACAGTAAGGCCCGTTTATAAGCGTGCTTTAAGCATCTATTCGGGTACCCCTTTTGTTTGAATTGGAGTTGTAAGGTCTTAGCCTTTAGTTTAAAATCATCCAATGTAGAGCAATTGCGTCTAAGGCGCAAGTATTGTCCAGTTGGAATCCCTTTCTTTAGGGAAGGGGGATGATGGCTAGACCAATTCAGCAAGTTATTAGTTGCCGTTGGTTTACGGAACAGAGTTGAGATGAGGCACCCTTCTTCTGTCAGCGAGATGGTGAGGTCCAGAAAATTAATTCTATTGCCACCAATTTCACTAGTCAGTTTGAGATTAATATTGTTGGAGTTGAGAGTGTGGACGAAGTCCAAAAACAGTTCCGAGGTATCTGTCCAAATGATAAACACGTCATCGATGTATCTTTTCCAGATTTTTATATGCTTTGTATATTTTACCATATGATCCGTGAATACCATTTGAGACTCCCACCACCCCAGGTGGAGGTTGGCATATGATGGGGCACAAGCCGTCCCCATCGCAGTCCCTCTCACCTGGTGATAATACTTTCCCTGAAAGGTAAAGTGATTGTGTGTTAAGATAAATTGAATCAGATCTTGGACGAATTTATTGTGTCTTAGTGATATTACTGGTTTACTGTCCAAGCTAGCTTTCAGATGTTCAAGTCCAAATTCATGTGGAATCGAGCTATACAGGCTCTCCACATCAAGGCTACATAAAATAGCGTGACCGGAAAAAACATTCCAAAATTCATCAGAGACAATAATGACTTTAAAAGTGGTAATGTTTATAGAAAGAATAGGAATCCAAGAAGGAGTTTCTCTGAACCAATATCAACGTCAGAATATGAGACGAGTGGTTCAGACTCAGATTCCTCTAAAGCGAGTACGTCTGCCTCATCAGAACGCAATTCAAAAAGTATATTAAAAAGAGGGGTCTCTTTTTTAGGCCAACCCAATATGGAAGAAAGTACAGCCCCACGGACAAGGTACAGAGGCAGACCACCCCAACACTTCAGGGGAAGAAAAAGATATTAGATAAGACAACTGTAAATAACCAGATCATCAATTTGTCCTCATACACTCCGACTCAAGCAGAGTTGCAGGTTTTACAGCGGGGTATGTCCTTTGTCCCAGTCTCAGACTTCGATAAGTTTAGCTGGACAAAGGACATACACCTGTTTGCTAGAAAACTGGCTCTGCATAAATTTCACTATATGAAAGAGGAAAAAAGGGCAAAAGATCTTGGTTTACAAGTCTCAGATATGGGTGCACTTGATACGCTGGTTGACCTCCTTATTGCGAATGACGAATCCGAAGTAAGATATCCCCCCTTTACACATCTAAAAAAGAAAAGCATGTTCACTCCACACTTAGTGGATTTTAAATATATAGACCTATTTGTGGAGATGACATGCAATGAAATTGAAAAAATCAACTTAAAAGACCTTCCAATCCAACCTAATAGCAACATCTCTCCTCAAGAAAATATCTCTCTTAAAAAACTTAAAGAACTGGATGAGGTTATTTTTAAACCCTCCGATAAAGGGGGCAATACAGTCATTCTAAACAAACCTGATTATGTCTCAATGGTACAAAGACTAATTGGGGATAGCAATACGTATGAAGTTCTAAAGGGTGACCCCACTAAAAAATACTTGGCAGAGTTGAAAATAATCCTTGATACAGCTTTATCTCAACTTCTAATTTCCAGGGATGAATATAATTTTATGTTTGTCAAGAATCCCGTCACTGCCACCTTCTATGCACTCCCAAAGGTACACAAACAACAACCGGTACTAAATGGGAGACCCATAGTCTCTGGTAGAGGTAATCTGACTCAAAACATCAGTCTTTATGTGGATCAGATCCTGAGGAAACTAGTCACTCAACTGCCTTCATATCTTAAAGACACGAAACACACATTAAGTATCATCGAAGGAACAAAAATTAGTGGTCACGCTATTTTATGTAGCCTTGATGTGGAGAGCCTGTACAGCTCGATTCCACATGAATTTGGACTTGAACATCTGAAAGCTAGCTTGGACAGTAAACCAGTAATATCACTAAGACACAATAAATTCGTCCAAGATCTGATGCAATTTATCTTAACACACAATCACTTTACCTTTCAGGGAAAGTATTATCACCAGGTGAGAGGGACTGCGATGGGGACGGCTTGTGCCCCATCATATGCCAACCTCCACCTGGGGTGGTGGGAGTCTCAAATGGTATTCACGGATCATATGGTAAAATATACAAAGCATATAAAAATCTGGAAAAGATACATCGATGACGTGTTTATCATTTGGACAGATACCTCGGAACTGTTTTTGGACTTCGTCCACACTCTCAACTCCAACAATATTAATCTCAAACTGACTAGTGAAATTGGTGGCAATAGAATTAATTTTCTGGACCTCACCATCTCGCTGACAGAAGAAGGGTGCCTCATCTCAACTCTGTTCCGTAAACCAACGGCAACTAATAACTTGCTGAATTGGTCTAGCCATCATCCCCCTTCCCTAAAGAAAGGGATTCCAACTGGACAATACTTGCGCCTTAGACGCAATTGCTCTACATTGGATGATTTTAAACTAAAGGCTAAGACCTTACAACTCCAATTCAAACAAAAGGGGTACCCGAATAGATGCTTAAAGCACGCTTATAAACGGGCCTTACTGTCAGATCGGAAAGACCTTCTAATCGAACATAACCCAGAGCCATCACAGGCAGTCATAAGATGTATAGGGAATTTTGATGCCGGCTGGCATCAAATGATGCAAATCTTGGACAGATTCTGGCCCCTTTTACAACAAGACCCACACTTACGGAAGGTAATCACACATAAGGCTTCAGTAACAGCAAGAAGGGGACGCAACATCAAGGACATGTTGGTCCCTAGCCATCTCAAGACTACACCCCAGAAAACATCATGGCTGAAGTCCCCAGTCTTAGGGACCTATCAATGTGGGAAATGTAAGGCATGTAGGTTTATACGTAGACCCTCCAAAACATTCCCAGACTCCCTCGGCACACAGGAATTCAAAGTAAAGAATTTCTTTAACTGTCAGTTCAAAGGGCTTATCTACTTACTTTCCTGTTCGTGCAAAAAACTGTATGTGGGAAAAACCTTTAGGATGTTTAAACTTAGGATACGGGAACATGTCAATTCGGTAAACCCCACAAGACAAATCGACACCCCTATCTCTAAACATTTGAAACTACATCATGGGGGCTCATCTGAAGGAATCAGATTTAGTGGTATTGAAAGGGTTACCTTGGGACCAAGAGGGGGGGATTTAGACAAGAAGCTACTCCAAAGGGAGAGCTTCTGGATCTATAAGCTCAAAACCCTGTCACCCTTGGGACTTAACGAAGGTTTCTCATATACACCATTTATTGCAGATCACTGATACCAGGTGTGGGACTCAGACCTATATACGGGCAGTGGTACTCGGCGGGTGATCTCTGCACTAATCTATTCTGAGTGAGCCTTATGGCCTGATACACTTGTAAATTTGTAAATATAGCGCGGTTTGTTCCACAATGGGTATATTCTTTGCTTATTACTATTACTACTATTATCACTATTCTTTCCTATTTATTATTATTTTTTATATTATTATTTTTTATCATATAAATTTATTCTCATGATTACCGGATGAGGACCACTAAATTGCTAATGCTTGAATTCTCCCAAGGAAATAGCTATATAATGACTATAATACCAATAATGTTCCTAGACCAAGCTTGCTGAGCACTTGAATGAAAATATCAATGGCCATACCAGTCTGAAAATGCCTGATCTCGTCAGATCTCAGAAGCTATCCAGACTTGGGCGGGAGACCAACTAGGAACCTCAGGTGCCATAAGTTTAAAGACCTCTTGACAAAAAGAATGCTAGCCCTATTATTATTTTTTTATTTTTTTTATTTTACGGACTAAGTCATATCTGGTCATTCAGAGGTTCATATTGTCAAGTGACTCAGTGTACAGGATATAGCGGCAGGATGTACCATGCTAATTTTGCATCCTAGCATGGGTCCTATGAACACTAAATATATTTATTATCATATATCCTTGCCTGGGACGGGGGAGTGGGAGTTAACAACATCCCAGGACCCCTTATCATTCAATTTTTCTCTTATTATTGGGGTGTCCTCTCATATTCTTTACTACATCTTTAATAGATTCAGTATTAGAATAATATGTAATCAGCACTGCCTTATATTTTCAGCTGACTCTGTACATCCTATATAGTACACATTGGTACTTTGGAATGATACATTATCAATATGCAGCTTATCAATTTAAGCCTTAATTTGGACAATTTCGGTTCCTCCATACACAGAGAATACCTAGCTCCGCCCATCTGTCACAGGGGATCAACCCATGTGAGGATGATGGACAGGAGAGGCTCGGATGGGCGGTACTGCAGCACTATGATGAATGAGCCACGCCCCGTTAGGAGAATGCCTGATATGTCACGTGACGCATGACATCACAGGTCACGTGACCGGCTGAGGGATTTCCCCTTCATACAGATGAATGAGCATTAGCAATCACGGAGGAATAGCCAGGATATTAGAGGCAGCTGGGGAGGTATACACCCCCACACTCCATTGGCTACAAGGTAATCATGCTTCCTGGCAATTGGGGTATTTAAGAGGCTTCTCTTCAGTTATCTGTTGGCCCCTGACGAAGGTGCATCTCTCTGCACCGAAACGCACATTGGGCGTTTTTTCTGCACTGGGCACTGGTGTTTGGAGCACCATGATCACCATTTAATTTAACTTTATTTTATATCGTTTTCTTCTTTTCTTTCCTATGCCTATCTAGCTAGCTTTACAGGGAGAGAGGCTTTATTAATGCTAATTATCAGTCTGTTTTGACTGATTTTTTTACTTCTATTTTCAGTCCTTATCTCTCTCTGTTTTTCTTAATATGTTTCTAGTGTGACCAGGATACTTCCTAGGATGCATGGATTATAGAGACTTAGCTACTGTATACTCCTATCCCTATAGCAGATCACAATAAAGCTTAATTATAAGGGGGAGTGAGGTTATCTTTTTACTACCTCTTGATCTATACTACCCTGGGCTGGCATAGGATTGTAGGTTCACTTGTATATACTTTGTTTAATTAGGGTCTCTGACCATATTATTTCTAATAGCCAGGTTCTATATTTGGAACATCGCGCTATACATAGATATATTTTTTTCCAGTCAATGCAGTAAGTTTCATTCATATAATTGAGACGGTCTGCATATTTCTTTGTTCTTGTGTTTATATTTGGGGTTAAGCCCCTCTGAGACAGCTGGAGTCTCATACTGGTACGTTTGTCTCTGCGTGACCCCTGCAGCCACTGCCCCCCTTTTGGGGAGGTTTTGAGGTGGTGGGTGTGGCGGCTATACAGGGACTTGGAACGTTGTGTTCCTTGCTCTCTCTTTTTTCTCATTTATTGCACCAACATATATTATATGCCATTTTTTAAATGACAAAAAGTCATTTAATTTGATGTGACATACACATGTGACCAGCCTTGACCCGCTTACTGTGGGTCAGAAATTTTCCCACACTATTCACCCTTTCCTCTGTGATCTTGCGATGCCTGCTTTCACTATTCCCGAACGTCCTGTCAAATTTTGCCCTAACAGATTGCCAACAGTTTGTTTGTTCATGTTAGGACGATATTTGGTACTTTTAGTTCGGTTAGAAATTTCATTTGAATGAAATAGCGATCCGTGCTGTGGCTGTATCTTGCAGCCGCTTAGTAGATAGCTCCCTTATTCCCACGGTATCAACCAACTGTTCAAATACTAAGTAAAAATTACTTAGTATTAGTAATTAATCTGCTCCTACTCGCTATATCGCGAGTAGAGGCATGTCTAGTAAACAATAAACCCCCCACCCCTTCTTATAAATGGCTCCATGGTGGGGCATCTATTAACTAGCGGGGGGGACATAGTGTGTCCCCCAAGATCCCACCCGGGCCTTGCCCCGCCCTGCAATTAGGCTCAGAGCACTCTGATTGGTGAGTTTAAGCCATCCAATCAGAGTGCTCTGACAGGTAAGTCTCTACATTTACCTGTCACAGCACTCTGATTGGTTGGCTTAAAATCTACCAATCAGAGTGCTCTGTGCCATTTTACACAGCGTGGTAAAGTTCTTTGGAATTTTCCCACGCTGTGTAATTTGACTCATAACTCTCTGATTGGTTACTTAACTTGGGGGGAGGGGGTGACTAGGGGTTTGGGGACCCCTAGTCATCTGGGGGGGTAACATTTTTATTTAGGGCTCCCACCCGCCACTCAGGGGTGGGGGCCATGGGGGGGAGGACAATAGGTCCCCTCCTATTGATATTTAGGACCCCCACCCGCCGCTCAGGGGTGGGGGCCTTGGGGAGGACCTTAACCTCTGTAACCCGTGGCAACGCTCTGTCGGCCGCGGCTCTCGCGAGACTTACAGTGGAGCTGACCGGATCTGCTGTAAAGGTAAGTAACAGCTTGCTCCCAGCCCCCAACAGGGCCGCCGGGCTTGTAATGAGCCCGGCGGTCCTGGTCTGTATTATGGCAATGTAAGTTGCCATAATACAGACCTTGACTCGAATATAAGACGGGTGGGGGTTTTTCAGCACAAAAATTGTGCCGAAAAACTCGTCTTATACTCGAGTATATACGGTACTTTATTAGAACTTACAATTAAAATATCAAGTAATATCAGAAATTAGGCAAGTGCATGGGGAAAATTTTCGGTTTGGTTCGGCTCGGCTCGGCATTCCGAAATTCGGGACTTTGGCAATCCAACACTTCGGCACTTCGGAACTTAGGCATTTCAGGACTTCTCTTGCAGCCGCTTAGTAGATAACTCCATAATTCCCACGATATTAGGGAGTTATCTACCAAAAGGCCGAAAGACCTAAATTGGTCTTTCAGCCAAATTTACTAATACTAAGTAAAAATTACTTAGTATTAGTAAATTTTGACCCTACTCACAATACCGAGCCTGTGGCTGCTTACTGTTAAAAATAAAATAGGGTCCCCCCCGAGCGGCGGGTGGGGGCCCTAAAGTAAAATGTCCTATAGTCCTCCCACCCCACACAGCTTTTATGCACAGACTTCTTCATGGGGTCTCTCATGCAATAGTACAGGGCTTTTCCTCCAAGGATCGTCTACAGAAAAATATACAATACTCTAAAACACACCAAAAATACATTTTAATAACTTCGGAACCACACGGAAGTAGTATCATTACTATTACTTTTCGAATAGCTTTCGAATAGCTTGGAATATTGCCAAAATATTGATTTCTTTCTCTTAGAGCTACTACATGAGTGCAGTGGATAGGAAGGCAAAAAAGAACAAATGCCGATATGCATGCTAGAGGCATGAGAGGCCTCTCCCACAACATCTCTCATTTGGAGTAGGTGTCATGGCAAGGGTACACAACTCATGGTTGCACTATAGAATATTGCCATTTAATGTAATTTGTGTAGTGCATATATGAAATGGCTACCTGGTAGAGGTGGTATTGTCAATTTCAAAAGGGGTTAATCTGATTGTATGGGAGGTCAGAACTTACAACCTAAATTCCTCTTTGAAGCTGGGACCCTAACAGAGCTACTCTGTAAGGTGTGATAAGTCACACATAAGTGGCCTGGAAGTCTGGTTTCAGTATAAACTAACTCTCTCATTTGCCATGTCTTGATTCCCTCTTAGATAAGGAGTCCTTTGATATAAATGTCCATTTGCTATCAATAACAAGCATTATGTTCCAATATCACATCCAAAAGATACATTAATGCCAACCCACAGATTAATAACCAAGCCTTTTTATCATATTTAGAATGGGACAAGCACAATCTTCTAATCAGGTCTAAATATGATTTGCGAACAAGTTGGTTCGGTAAACAAATGAGGGGGGTAAGGACAGCCAAATAAAGGGAATAAAAGTGTAGTTAGGCCCTCTATCTGGCTACATCTATAAAAAATCCCATAGGGAAAAACACACGAACAGGGGCAAAGTATTCAAAATTGTCGGTAGGTTCCGCCACAAACCATATTTTTTTTTATAAACATTTAACATTAATTTGGTATATAAAGAAATCAACATTTAACAATCGAAGAAATAAGAAGGGAAGGTGAAAAAAAATGCTAAAAAAAAGAGTGGATGCGTACTACCAAAATGTACAATTGTAAAATAGTGTTTTGTTCCTGTGAAAATATAATACAGAGAGTAATATCATTAATTGTATACAAAGATACAGAGGTATCCCTATTGTTTTAGATTATAATAATAGATCCAGACATATCAAACATATTTTAAATAAGTCCTGACATGTTTTAAAGACAGACCAAGAGCTTATTAAAGGGACTCTCCAGTTCCAGGAAAATAATCAGTTTTCCTGGCACTGCAGGTCCCCTCTCCCTCCCATCCCCGGTTGCTGAAGGGGTCAAAACCCCTTCAGTGACTTTCCAGAGGCAGCGACCATGTCCCTCGCCGCTGCTTCTGTGTCCGCCCACACTCCTCTCCTTCATCATGTCAGCCGGCGTGGGAGACCTAATGCGCATGCGCGGCAATGCTGTGCGCGCGCATTAGACCTCCCCGTAGGAAAGCATTGAAAATGCTTTTCAGTGCTTTCCTATGGGGATTTTAACGACGCTGGAGGTCCTCACATAGCGTGCTATAATCCTGGAAGTGCCCTCTAGTGGCTGTCTAGTAGACAACCACTATAGGAGGAGTTAACCCTGCAAGGTAATTATTGCCGTTTATAAAAACTGCAATAATTACACCTGCAGGGTTAAGGGTAGTGGGAGTTGGCACCCAGACCACTCCAATGGATAAAAGTGGTGTTGGTGCCTGAAGTGTCCCTTTA